GAACATCGGTTCCGATAAGTCATTTATGATGAGATTAATTTCCAGACTGCGCCGGAGGAATGATGTGAATCACTGTCTGCAGAGACCAATCAATCTTCCAACAAAGCTGATTGGGCAGAACTTTATTTTTTACATGATTCCAGTAATATATGCAAATTATATTTGTGCGAATAACTTATTATTAAATATTTTTTTGTGTGTGTGCTTCTGACTGTCCCTGATAGCTGAGCGTAAAATACACTCCATGCACAATATGGCCGAAGGTTTGCGGACTCCTGATGGGACATCCTATTCTAAAACCTCGGACATTATTGTGGAGTTGATGCCCCTTTGCAGCATTAACAGCCTGTACTCTTCTGGGAAGGCTTACAAAGATTGGAGTGTATCTGCGGGAATTTGTCCCCATTCAGCCAAAAGAGCATTTGTGAGATCAGGTAATGACGCCAGAACAGAAGAGGGTCCCCCAAAGCATTGCCCGAGGTTTGAAGTGCACAATTGTCTATAATGTGTTTGTATGCTATAGCATTGAAGGAGAACTATGAGGTGTATGATTTTCACTCATCCTCATAGTTCGAGCCGACGTGCTACAATGAAACTGTCACACGTCGGCTCAATAGATCGGGAAGTGAGCGAACGCATACCGCCGCTCCCTCACTTCTCGATCCTGTGCCTGCAGAGAACCATGACTGTCACTCACGGCTCCCTGCAGGGATTCCCCCCCCCCTTCCCACGCACTGACTGGAGGAACGAACAGGGGAGGGGGCGGGTATAGCTGGCTCTGCCTCTAGATAGGCAGAGCCAGCTGTCAATCACGCAGCTGGGGGGCTCTCGACAGCTGTAGCTCGTGATATACTGAGCTTTGGGTCACAGGAGGACGCTAGTATATGTCCTCCCGTGACCCTTAGGAGAACTATGGGGAAAAGCACTTACCCCATAGTTCTCCTTTAACAGTAACCTTCACTGAAAACCCCTGTATTCAATCATTTGGAGGGGTCCACAAACTTTAGGGCCACATAGGTATGTGCGATGGTCAGGTGTCCACAAACCCTTCCCCATACAGTGTAGCTTTGGCATTCCCAGCCACTACTCATGTGTCTTGTGTTGGGCACGTGGGTTTAATAACCGAAGAAGAGGAGTGACTTTGGTCAGGGACCAGTTTTCTGTGTTTAGGAAATAAAAGAATTGTGGACTGCAGAGTCAGAGATCATCACCTTCTGGGCTGGCCCTTGAAGGAAATAATGTTAGCCTTGTGATGGGAAAGTTGACATAATTTTGGGTCAAACATTTGCTAGGATTGAGGTTTGGATGGAAATGAAACACTGAGCAGATTTGGTTTGTTATTGGGGATGGCTGAAGAAGCAGAGACCAGTCAAGTAAACGGTGATTGTTATTTTATTATCGTTTATAAAGCTGCCATGATATACTCCATCCCGTCAGAGACTGTCCGCGCATACTGACTAGTTAGCATCCGTGTTTGCTGGCTTGGAGCCGCGTTCTCAGCAGGCTTGGACACCAGATATAATCCCTGGACCTAATCCGGACATTCTGGTCCATCACATGCGTTCTGTTCATGTGCTGTAATAGATTTCTGTTCATCACAGCGCATCCAGCTCGATATTTTGGGGTTCAAAGGTCGATGTGGTCATAACTGCAGCTGCGGTTTGCAGGAGAGGTCTTGCTCTGGCACGGAGTACCTTAGGTGCTGGAATAAAGTGTAAAATCACTCACATATGTGTAATATTACATGAAGAGCCACAAAGGATCTGCATAGGAATCCAGCAAGCCGTAAATAAGTACATAAAACTTTGAATTAATAATGAGCCTTAAACACGGAGGCCAGCTGGAAAACGGCGCTGACCGAGCTGCCGGCTTAAGCAGGACACGTGGAAGCGGAGGAATGCGCCCCTTGCACGTACTTGTAGAGGATACTATTCCAAGAGTCTGAAATGGACACAACACTGGAGGCCATTACCAGGCACGCTGGCCGCTGGGTGCCAAAGCTCTGCGATCAATCTTCTGCTCGATACAAATGACTTCTCCTTCTCAGCTTGTAATCGGTCCCATTAGAACCATGCCATGGCACGTAATTAACACAGTTCTGGTGCATCAGTCAATTAGTGTGAATAACCCCTGAGGAGAATACGATGCCGCTATTACCAGAAGGTGTAGGGCGGGCGTCTCGCTCCATTTGCTTTCCTGCAGCTTCACCTTTTTTTCTTCTGGTCGTTCCGCTGTGCAACGCTAACTGTTTTTGTTTCAGCCAAAACAGACAGCTCACCCCCTTGTACTCTTTTTCTTCTCACCTTCTCACACAGCACTTAATCCATTTCAGATGCTGTCTGGTGAAAGTGAAACATTTCACGTAGTATTGTGATTCTTTCCATAAGATGATCTTCCTCAGGCGTACCGAGTTCCTCCAGTTATTAGGTCGGACGCAGAGATGCCTCAGTGGCTGAGCGCACTGAATGAGAAACTCGTCTTGAAATGTTTCGGTTCAGAATACGCTCCGTATTATCGGATCAAGGTGTAAATATTTGTACAGAGACCCCCTCCAAGTCACAGAATAAACATCTTATGATAGAACTCTATAGAGTTCTATAGAAGATTTTATTTTTTAAGGAAGTATCAACGATGGCACCTCATTATCAGGCAGGGCAAATGTTGACTGTAGAACCTTGGGCTTTTTGCTAGGGATGCACTGATACCGGTTTTTCGATTATTGAGTTCCAATATTTTTTTTCCGGTAGTCGCCGAGTACCAGTGCGGTGTACCCCGATTATCAGGAAGCTGAGCGGTGGATCATGACCCATTGCCCAGCTTCCTGATTGCCTGTTGAGCCGGTGTTCTAGCAAAAGAACACCAGCTTCACTTGCTGAGACTGCCTGGTTTCCTAGCCAAATCAGGAAGCCGGGCAGAGAGTCATGAGTTGCCGTCTGACTTTCTGGTTGGTCAGGAAGCCAGGCTTCCTAGCAACAAGTGAAGCCGGCTTCCTAGCTAATCAGGAAGCCGGGCAGAGAGTCATGAGTAGCCGTCTGACTTTCTGGTTGGTCAGGAAGCCAGGCTTCCTAGCAACAAGTGAAGCCGGCTTCCTAGCCAATCAGGAAGCCGGGCGGCACATCATGATCCGTCTCTCAACTTCCTGATTGGCTAGGAAGACGGCATCACTTGTTGCCTGACCGCTCAGGAAGCCGGGAGGCAGGTAACTACATGGCCAGGCTGCCTAGCAACAAGTGAAGCCGACTTCCTAGCCAATCAGGAAATTAGATGATTAGAAAGGAAGCCGGCTCCATGCTCCCTCGGCACTTGCACTCAGGGGGAAATCTCCCTCTGACCGGAAGTTCCTGTATCGGAGGTAAGTATTGGAGCATTTGGGTGAGTATGAGTACTATGAGATACTAGTATCGGTGCATCCCTACTATATATATTACTCACTTTTTTTGCTTGTGAACTTTTTAGCCTTTAAGTTGTATTAATTTGAGTAGTGACAACATAAAGGGGGGGGGAGGAGGAGGGAGAAGGAACTGGACCTGGAGGAGCAACAGTGACTGAAATATGTTGTCTTACTTGCCCAACTGACTGCCACACAGGGCTCCCCCCAACGCCATTGGGTGACCAGCCATGATTGTGAGATTTCACTCAAAAATAACACAAATTGGGCAACTGTCCTCTCCGAAATATGGACAGTTGCAGAAAGGTGGAAAGGGGCTTTGTTAGACCGAAGGTGGAAAATATCTTCAGGATCAATGTTTGTTCTTAATTAAAAGAAGGATTTTACTGGCACCACATGCAGCTTAGATTTAAATATCAATAAGTGAGAATGTTTGTAATATGACATCAATGCGGTTTGGTGTGCGCTGTATGACCCCCGCACATCAATCAAACGGCAATTTGGTACAGTTGTACCAATAGCAGCGTGAAGGGAAGACAGACTGTTTATCTTATATTAAATATTAGCGCTCGGAATGTTCAGTAGCGACTCAGCACACCGCTCCTCTCCAAGCCAAACACATATGGAACTGGCACAGAAGTGTGCCTGAGTCAATACAAATGAACTTTCCACTCCAGTATTGTTTCACACCGCGCTTTAATTGGAGAAATAGTTCTAAATCTTTTTTTCCACCATCTATGGTAGACACTTGTGGTGAGATGACTGCGGGCCTCTGCTCTAAATGTGTCTGTGGAGAGGAATGTGAACTGAGTGAAGATGGTGGCTTCTCAGTACAGACTATCGAGCGCTCCCATCTACAGGTGGCACAGGAGTGAGCACGTCCCTCACCCTTTTCCCCTAGAAGCCTTTTAGTGGCATCCTAAGAATTGGCCTACCTACTTCCTGTCAGTAAGGACACCAGTTTTACATGTGTCAACGTTATAAGGAAAGCTCCTCCAAAGTCCAATCAGCTCTGGTTCAGTGTCTGTTTCCAATGCGTAGTCTTCTTCATGAACGTCCTTATTATTTGTGCTCTGCACTGTTGATGTCTATGAATGTCCATAAGATGGTGTCCAGCACCCAAATGCTTTCTCCTCTACAGCATTTGTACATTCAGTCTGTTATCCGGATGTTAGTCCGTCTTCCATCTGCCACTGTTCTTATGTTATTTTGGTTTGATTTGAATGGGTTCAGCTTACATTGAAATGCAATGCCCTCTGGCTGCAGATTAGGAGGCTGGCACTGCAAGAGTTATGCTTTGGCTTCCCATTTCTGCCGCTCTGTATACACATGCCAATCAATATTTCCTGGCCATTTCAGAGAGCGCGGCGGTTGTCTGCTCCGGAATTCCACCCCCTGTAATCATTACTGTGGTATGCCTATTTGGCTGGCATTGAGTATACAAGTTTTCTGGAGCCAGTCCTGAATTTTGCCTTTTACCTCTTCACTGCTGGAGCCCAGGACCATATCAGTCACAGAGCCGGGTATTCATAATAATTGCCTGCAATCCATAACCCTGAAAATGATGGTATACCGTACTGCATGTCTGACCATAGTCTTCCTCTGTCTCCAGGTTCTTCAAGGGGCACAACTCATCGCCGTCACCTCTGACCCGGCATCTGGTGTAGTTAATGGCTCCCCGCTACAAGGTAACGACATCCAGGTCCAGTACGTCCAGCTTGCACCCGTCACTGAACCATCGGCAACAGCTCAGGTAAGTTGCTGCTCACCAGACAGACAGACGTTTGTCATTTAGAATGTGTGATATATAAATATATATATTTGGCAATGGCTATAAGGAAGAGGGGTTAATTCTCTATAACCGGTGCCTTGCTGCAGCCTCGCACTCCCGGCATCATACTGATCTATGTTTTGATTGGGCACTTTTTCTGGACACATGTAATTTAGAATCGCTGTAATATTGTAGAAACAATGCGTTGCTTTTCTCTGCTGGTCACTGAGCCTGACCAACACTGTACAGATATTATACCGCGGGATACCTTCTATTGGTCATTGGGGCAGCCGATCACATTACAGAACCAATGGGAAGGAATTGGGCCCAAGTCCGACATACAGGAGACACCCGCAATCACCATTCACATTCCTTCTTTAAAGGAGAACTATGAGGGGAGTGCTTTCACTCACCTCATAGTTCTAGCCGACCTGTGACAATGAGACTGTCACAGGTCGACTCAGTAGATCGGGAAATTTAGGGTAACGGGAGGACGCTAGTTTGTGTCCTCCCGTTACCCTAAGGAGAACTATGGGGAAAAGCCCTGACACCATAGTTATCCTTTAAGTTGATCAGAAATAATGGACACCTACTGGCTTTGTTCCCATCACCTTGTCACGTACCTGGGTGGAGACTGATTGTAGGGAGGAGGCTTCCCTTGCACCTCGTGTCCCAAAGACTCTGGAGTTGGGAACAGAGTCAGTGCAGACAGCGAGTGGCACAGGTGCCAGTGGTGATCACACCGTGCAAAGCTGGAGTTCCGGCACCAGACCGGATCAGGCTGAGCTGTAGTCAAACCTAGGCAGGCAGCGGAGTGCAGAGCGGGATCCAAGATCGAGGTCAAACAAGCCAGTCGGGCAGTGAGGTACAAAGACAGGAGACAGAGGAAGGTCCAGTGAGCAAGCAGGAGGTCGAGGGCAGGCAGCAATCAGCAAGGTCAAGGATAATCCGGGTCAAAGTCAGCAAGGTAAGCAGAAGCACAAGGAACACAGTGGAAGCTGAAGACAATCCAGCAACTTGGAGTCAAGCAGGCTGGCTTTAAATAGGCAGACTCATCAGGAAGCAGCATCACTTCCTGTGCGCTGTTTGGCGCGCTTTTGCGTGGCTGTTCCGTGGAGCGCGCATGTGCCCTTTTACCCGCAGTACGAAAAACTGGGCGCTGCACATGCGCAATAGCAGGTGGTTCCTGACACACCTTCAGTTTCTGTACATAGATCTCTAGATGTCATTTTGACTTTTCTATCACCAGCTGTAAAGGTGAAACACCGACCATGACGATCCCAACGCCGGCCATGACAATCCCAACGCCGGCCATGACGATCCCAACGCCGGTTGGTGGTCATAATACCCGATGATTTAAATATAAATGTTGACAATGTACCTATGTACCTGGAGGAAGCTACATGTTCCTATAAAACAAATTGGGGGGAATTTATCAAAGCAATTGCGAGTGTTTGAACTTGCACGGAAAATATTTGCACCAGATTTATGATGCTAGTGTAATGTTGTTGGTAAATGAGGTTTAATAGACTCCAAGAAAGAAGACTTCTAACTTCAGGCAAAAAGCTTAACTGTCGCATCTTGAAGAAGTGGTCATGGGGACTTCTTAAGTTGTGAGTGTTTTCTTAGGTGATGCTCCAGTTTCATACAGCCGCAGGACAAGTGCAGATGAAAACACGTGCAAAAAAGGTGCAAAAAACATGCAGTTGAAAAAGTAGCGCAAGCTCTGAAGAAAACAGGGGCACATGTTAAAAGACAGATTTGCACATAAAAAAAAAAATATCTAAGAGGCTAAAACTGTAGCAAAGTGCTTTGATAAATTCCCCCCAATGTATATTGCAGTCTCCAAATGTTAAAGGAGAACTATGGGGGTCAGGGCTTTTCCCCATAGTTCTCCTTAGGGTAATGGGAGGATACAAACTAGCGTCCTCCCGTCTCCCTAAGCTCAGTATATAGGATGAAAAGCACCCCCCCCGCCCCCTCATAGTTCTCCTTTAACAGCACACGTCCCCTCTCTATTCTGTGCGGGAAGTATCGGCTTTAGCGTGCAATCTTCCCGAGTTACTCTTCTAGATTATAACGGTCCCTCCTTTGGCTGAAAACTTATTATTTATCTCAATTATAGTGAAATCTCCAGAAACCACTACAGATAGGCTGGTGAGTGACAAGAGAAACATGATATGTAATGATGGGGTTCATCTCCAGAGATTTTAGATGGATCATGGCTGTCACCCTGGTAAGAATATCCTTCGGGTCTGTCAGAGGAAGAGAAGAAAGATCTCCCCCCCCTCACTCACACCAGGAGACTCCGTCACATTCCAGCCCTGCTGGTACCAGTTACATTGCTCACTGTCTCGGCTCCGCTTCTTCAGCGAGAATAGATAACTAGGCCAACTGGATCCAATATGAGAAATAAATCTGTAATATTATACCCAGCACATTATACAGAGAGCGCTAAGAACAACCAGCTATTCTGTGCACAGGATTCCAATAGGAGTCACCATCTCCATGGTGTGCCTGGCACCCCGGACTAGGGATATATAGAGACAGATACTATATATACCATCATTACATGACGCGCCCAGCTCAGGGGAGATCACTGATAGTCATTTGTGTCTCAGAGCTGCATTGCTCAACCTTTTTTCAGTCACTGCACCCTTTAAAAGTATGAAAACTCTCGAGGTACCCCGGTCTAAAATGTAAAAAAAAATGGCATGTGGCTCCCATTACATCTAGACTAGCCCCTCATCCTAGGTAGGGGTGGGGTATGGATTTTAATTTCAATAGGTTTTTATTGAGCATTTTCAGCGATACAAAGAAAAGGTATTCAACATTGAACAGTTCAGGTCTATTCAAGACCATAAGGACAAACCATAAGAAGAAAGATATATGTGGTGAGCCACTACAAGCGGAGCTACCAACCCGTGTGGAAGTCTAGAGAAGGTCCAGGGACCTGACCATTTTGAGCTATGCGTAGATTCGTAGCCTGGTATGGATTTTAAAGGGGGGACCCCACACACACAACAAAAACACAGAGTTGCCTCCTTCACATTAGAGCCCCCCCCTTCACCTCAGAAACCCCCTTCCTAGCAGGAGCCCCCCTCTTTCACATCAGAGTGCTACCTTCACCACAGTGTAGATGTGACAGCATGGTAGGAGGTGGAGCAGATCTGTACAGAGGTGGTCTTCTGTCCTTTTCTGGGGCTGGTCCTGGATGCATTTCCATGGGGCCTGGTGGCTGGTTCACCTATACCAGTGGTGGCGAACCTTGGCACTCTAGCTGTTTTGGAACTACAAGTCCCATGAGGCATTGCAAGGCTCTGACAGCCACAGACATAACTCCCAGAGGCAGATGCATGTTGGAATTTGTAGTTTTGGCACAGCTGGAGTGCCAAGGTTCGCCACCACTGACCTATACCATGGAAATGCAGGATGCTCTGCAAAAAGTGAAGGCACCCCTGACAAAACCAGGAGTCACCCCAGTGTGTCACAGCACCCGGGTAAGAAAGGCTGTCAAAGTATTTCTCTGGTGTGCTGATCTCGTAGAAAGGTAATTATCTGTCCACTTGAATGAGAGCGAAGAAACGACCACAAGTGATGGGGGGGCACAGTGGAAGGAGCCAAGCCCTCCAATACGGTATTACAGGAGGTGACAGATGTTGGAAGAAAGTCTCCAGCAGTGCAAAGTAATGGAGTGACACACGTCCGGCTCACACCTGAAAGAATTTGTATATGACAGAGAGTGCCATTCAATGACATTCCTGACACACAAAAATGCAGTTTAATCTCCACAATAGTGTTTTGCTAGTGTGAGCCCCGGGGTCCTGCCACATCCGGATGAATGGGTGCCTCTCATGTCAGTGTGACAGGAGCTCCAAGTTCATAGTGGAAGATAATAGCGCAGTGTTTGTCAGAAGTGTAACAATGCTGAAAGGTGTTGAATTCTTATTTAGTTTTTCTTTTTCTAAGTACATTTTGGCTGCACTCTCTCCTGCCGGAGGCAGGTGACATCAGAGCAGCTCATACACTTTAAAGGAGAACTATGGGGGTCAGGGCTTTTCCCCATAGTTCTCCTTAGGGTGACGGGAGGACACAAACTAGCGTCCTCCCGTCACCCTAAGCTCAGTATATAGGGAGCTGCTGCTCGCGGTGTACTGAGACGCCGCAGCTGAAGCGGATCCCGACAATTATGTCTGGATCCGCCCAGCTGTGTGAGTGACAGCTAGCTCTGCCTATCTAGAGGCAGAGCCAGCTGTACCCGCCCCCTCCCCCGTCCGTTCCGCCAGTCAGATCGGAGTGGGGAATCCAGCCCCTCCCCTGTCACCGCAGAGAGCCGTGACAGGATCGAGAAGTGAGCGAACGCCGGTATCTGTTCGCTCACTTCCCCATCTACTGAGCCGACCTGTGACAGTCTCATTGTCACAGGTCGGCTAGAACTATGAGGTGAGTGAAAAGCCCCCCCCTCCCCCCCCTCATAGTCTTCCTGCAAAGTTCACCTGGGGGCCGGTTTACACCACAAAGTCTGCGTTCCACAGCGTTCGGCCCCTGGAACGCCAGCTTCCTGCGATAGGGAGCGGGCGTAGCGGTGCATTGAAGTCAATTGCACAGCAGCCACGCCCCCTGGCCACAGTGCGATCGCCCGCACCTGAACGCGTGGCACATTAGTGCTCGCATTCCGGTCCAGTGGGATCTGCAAAAATAGTGTTTGCAGTATTTTTGCAGATCGCATTGGACTGGAATGCGAGCACTAATTTGTCACGCGGTTGGATGCGGGTGGGCTTGTGGTGCCATTGACTTGGCACCGCCCCACCCCCGAACCAGCCGACTTGCGTTCCAGAGGCCGAACTCTCTGGACTGCAGACTTTGTGGTGTGAACCGGCCCTAGGATTACCCGCAGGGTGACAATGCTTTAGTGCGATTTCCCTGCCCCTTCCCTGTAATAGGGTGACAACGAACAGGGTTGTCACCCTATTACAAGATGTGGAAAAAGAACTGATTCACTGTCAGAATTGACACGTCATAAAGCTGTTAGTTATACTAACGGACAAAGTCAACAAAAGTGAAGTTGTCCTTTAACGTTTTGTATTTTTTCTTAGCAGAATCTAATTCCTAATAATAGGGGGAAAAAAAGTAAAGTTTATCTTTTGGGGACTCCACACGTTCCATCTATGAAGGGTCCTTCACAGAGCAATCTACTTCTCTTCCTCTGCTGATCTGATGTGCGGGCCCCATTACCACCCTCCGTACACACGATGGAGGCTGTGAATCAAAAGCCCCATAAAGTTATACGACATCGGGAAAAAAAAAAAGAACATTTCAAAGGCATTTTTATGAATTTTTGGACACACATCAGTCGGCCTTAGAAGTGGAAGTTTCAGTTTAACAAATTGCCCGAGAATTTAAAAACAGAGTTTTATATGAAACAACTATATGGAGCCTGAAACCTAAAAACATCCATTTATCACACAATGGCCGAATTCCCGAAAAACGGAGCGCCATCTATATCCCCCCTCCCCCCCCCTCTGCCCCGCTATAGCATAACGGCCTCACCGCGGGAATTACTAATACAACTTGTATCAGTGCCAGGAATGATGGACGCCGGGGCCAGATCTGCTTTTTCAGGATTTCTATCCCGCTAGAACCAATCCAAGCAAAAGCAAACTTCCTCCAAGAACCTCCACCTATACTTCTCCCTCGCCAACTCTCACAGGGTAAAACAAAAGGCAAAGCACATTGTATATATGCGCACACAGCTATTCTGCCGGAGAGAGCTCAGATTGTTTAAGGGGAAAGCGCTGCCAAAAGGGAAAATAAATGATGTATGAAAAATATATTTTGTTGGAATTCGATTTAGCCAAAATGATCAAAATTTATCCCAGCACTGCGAATTCTCTAATACTGCTGAAACGTTGTACAAACACCACAACCATGTGTCTCACCTGAGAAAAGCTGACCTTGTCTTTCCTGTGACCAGCTGAGGTCCAGCGAGGGACTAACGTTGACCTACCTGTGACCAGCTGAGGTCCAGCAAGGACCCCGCCTTGTCTTACCTGTGCACATCTGAGGTCCAGCAAGGACCCCGCCTTGTCTTAACTGTGCCAAGCTGAGGTCCAGCAAGGACACAGCCATGTCTTACCTGTGCCCAGCTGAGGTCCAGCAAAGACACAGCCTTGTCTTACCTGTGCCCAGCTGAGGTCCAGCAAGAACACAGCCTCGTCTTACCTGTGCCCAGCTGAGGTCCAACAAGGACTCAGCCTTGTCTTACCTGTGCCCAGCTAAGTTCCAGCAAAGACACAGCCTTGTTTTACCTGTGCACATCTGAGTCCCAGCAAGGACACAACCTTGTCTTACCTGTGCCCAGCTAAGGTCCAGCAAGGACTCAGCCTTGTCTTACCTGTGCCCAGCTAAGGTCCAGCAAGGACTCAGCCTTGTCTTACCTGTGCCCAGCTGAGGTCCAGCAAAGACACAGCCTTGTCTTACCTGTGCCAAGCTAAGGTCCAGCAAGGACACAGCCTCGTCTTACCTGTGCCCAGCTGAGGTCCAACAAGGACTCAGCCTTGTCTTACCTGTGCCCAGCTAAGGTCCAGCTAGGACCCCACCTTGTTTTACCTGTGCACATCTGAGTCCCAGCAAGGACACAACCTTGTCTTACCTGTGCCCAGCTAAGGTCAAGCAAGGACTCAGCCTCGTCTTACCTGTGCCCAGCTAAGGTCCAGCAAGGACTCAGCCTTGTCTTACCTGTGCCCAGCTGAGGTCCAGCAAAGACACAGCCTTGTCTTACCTGTGCCAAGCTAAGGTCCAGCAAGGACACAGCCTCGTCTTACCTGTGCCCAGCTGAGGTCCAACAAGGACTCAGCCTTGTCTTACCTGTGCCCAGCTAAGGTCCAGCTAGGACCCCACCTTGTTTTACCTGTGCACATCTGAGTCCCAGCAAGGACACAACCTTGTCTTACCTGTGCCCAGCTAAGGTCAAGCAAGGACTCAGCCTCGTCTTACCTGTGCCCAGCTGAGGTCCAGCAAAGACACAGCCTTGTCTTACCTGTGCCAAGCTGAGGTCCAGCAAGGACACAGCCTCGTCTTACCTGTGCCCAGCTAAGGTCCAGCAAGGACACAGCCTCGTCTTACCTGTGCCCAGCTGAGGTCCAGCTAGGACCCCACCTTGCACAGCTTAATTCTAGCAGTGGCACACTGAGCAACCATAATGTGCTGAGTGCAGCATCCAAATATCACCTGTCATCAGCACAGGTGAGCACTGATTGCTACCACTGACACAATGCTTTGCTACCTATTACCATCCAGTAGAATGGAAGACGTTTCCCTAATCAATGTTTCTTGTTTGTGATTCAGGCCGTGGAACCTCTACAGTCCGCTCTTCAGCCGGAGATGCACATTGAGCATGAATCAATCCAGATCCAATAATCTTAGCATGTCAGGAACCTGTGTGTGCCGGCAGTTATCAGCATGGAGGGCACAAGAGCTGAACTCGTCTGCCAATGAAACCCAGTAAGCAGACCTCGACGTGGACATCTCAGAGGACCAGACTGCAACGGATGAGACGCACTGCGCACATTCGGGTGTTTGTACTCTAATACGCTATTTTTTTATCCTCTGTTGTTTGTATCTAAAAAAAACAATTCTATCTTTGGTTTGCTGAAAGGATATTCCTTGATCAATTCCCATGGACAATTCGCTCACTGTTCTGCATGTGTGGAATCATTTGTAGGCCAAGACTATACTAAGTGTACCTGTCATTACACAAAGTGGAGACGTTAATTAAATCCTTAACTAGATAACCCGGAAGTCACCTTCTGTATGAGAACGGATCAGTGGAATGGTGTCATAGAATGAGTCATCTGACCCCCTCATGAACGCAGCGCATGGGTATCTTCCATCTCATGCAGTTGGGACCCCCTGATACCTATCGGATGAACGGAAGAAAATGTATTTTATTTGAATGTATTGTGAAGACAGAATTGCAGTTATAATGTGTAAAATAATGTTGAATGTTTTTTTTTTCCTTTTAAGGTTTATGAAAGTAACTGTACAATGTGTTTTTTAGGCATCTAACTGGTTCACTGACTCTAATGTGTGACGTGCCGCCATATTGGACGGAAAGATTACACTGTGGCTCTTGAGGACTAGCCAACACAGCACCAGTACTGCCAGCAAATGCCATTCCAGCCAAGTATTTTTTTAAAGATAAGACACCCCCATTGTACAAAACACAGGGCCGGGCCCGGGGTGGAGTGACCAAGGAAGGTGGAGCATTGGGGGTCTCTTATAGCCTTGGTTCTCAACTGGTGGGTCGCGACCCCATGTTCAGCGGGTCGCCGTGTGCCTTCTACTTTTCTAGGTGAGAGTCTCTTAGCCTCCTCCTAGCGCAGCGCTGTCAGTTCTCACGCAGAGCAGCCATTCAGAATATGCAGCCCGGCGTCGAGTGTCAGCTTAAGGTGAGGTGGGCTGGAGCTATGGCCATGCGGGGAGCTCCATCCATCCATACGTGCATTGCTTACAGCTCCCTCACATGCCCTGGACCGGAGTGACGTCACATTCTGGCTACCGGCACCTCTACGGGGCGCGCATGGGAGTTGTAGAAGCAATGCGCATATGGATGGAGCTCTGTCACAGCACACACAGCAGCCCAGCACTGGACCCCCGGTGGTGGATCCACTCCAGTTCTCGTAATGGCACCTCAAACACACAGTTCAATCGCCTGCACCAGAACGCACAGTACCACAATGCCGTGCGTTCCATTGCAGTGCGACTTGGGTCACCACTTAATGACCAAGGAGAAATGTGGGTCCTGAGGTTACACAGGTTGAGAACCGCTGTCTTACAGACTGCAGTGCAAGGAATCTGAATAGGACTTCTGAGATGTTATACACAATGTGAAGCCGGTAACTAAAGGGTTCAATGGACTCCATGCAGTGCATGGGGGGGGGCAGCTGCTTCAGATATTCTGAGCACTGCCCAATTCAGAGGGGGTTAGGTCAGTCTCTGCATGTGAATCCTGACATAAACCAGATGAATAAAGTTATATAACTCACGTATAGAGGCCTTTTTAACAGAAGATCCCACAACAGGTAGAGTAGAGACGATCATGTGACAATGGGACGTTCACCTACAGTAAGAATACGTCACATACCTGCCATGGAAATGTTTCTGACCTGCTGATTCTAGAAGACTGCTGTTTTATGTTATAAGGTCCAAACGCTGCTCTGGAGATCTTCCTGACACCAGAGGTACAGTCAGGGTATTGTAGTGTGCAAGTCATGTGATGGACCTTGTAATTGATATGTGGGCATTTCAAACACCCTCAATAAATGATTATTTATAAGCAATATGACCCGATCGCTGTGTGTACTGACGTGCTGAGATCTGCTATGAAGAATGTCTCGGAGGTCTGGGAAGCACCTTATGGCTAGATGTGGAGTTGGAGCCGCCCTGCATGTATAATGGCTCCAATTGTAAGAAACCTCGCAACAACTAGTAATGGCATTGAGTCCGCAGCAAGGGCACACATCGCCGCCATTGATCCTGTCAGGTTAAAGCGCAGCTATCATTAGAATGTACAATCCACGTGAATCAATAGGGAATGTATCAGAATTACATTATTATCATCTTTGTGTCGCTCTGTTACTTTGGATTTTCAAACTGTTGGCCTTGAGCTTTTGCGTTTGGCAGCCTAGGGAACACTGTCTGTCTGCCCAGAGCATTGCGGGGACTTGATGTCATTACAGAGAGAGTCTCATGTTTTTCATTAGGCAATTCGTTTTAAGAACCCCCGGTCTGAAACGCCCCCTGTACCAGGGTTATATGAGTGACAGGGCATGAGTCTTCTGGTCTATCCCACATCCTCCTCAGCTTTCCAGAGAGAGAAAAGCTTTCCAGCATCTACAAAACATATTTAAATGGAGTGACCCTTTAAAGAGGACTATAATAGACTTCCAGTGTCTACCGTCAGTGGATGAACAAGGGCTGTGTTCCCACCTTACACCATATACAATATTATATCACTATATACAGGGACCTCTGTCTACTGAGCTGTCCACCCGTCTCCTCTTTACATCACACGATGATACTGAGAATTAGACATGTGCAAAAAAAATTGCTTTCTGACGAAACAAATGAAAACTAAAAACGTTTCCATTCGTTTGATCAATGAAAACATTTTTTTTCAACGAGCCTCCAAATCCGAACACTGAGAATGCAGAATGAGTGATGGCCATTTCGGCTGCCGGCGCGTTCTGAGCTTGCGTGCCGCCATCTGTGAGTGTAGCTTGGTATACACCAAGATGGTGGTGCTCGTATGTTCAGGCGCCGCCATTTTGGTGTATACCAAGCTACACTCAAATATGGGAGTGCGCCTGCGCAGAACGCACCGGCGGGCGATATGACCACCGCTCGTTCAGCGTGTGACGTCACACTGAAAATGCAGAACGAGAAGTGGCCATGTCGGCCGCCGGCCCGTTCTGTGCGCCGCCATCTTTGAGTGTATCTTGGTATACACTCAAAAGATGGCGGCGCGCTTGTGCAGAACGGGCCTGCAAAAGAAAGTATGCATGCACAAATATAGTTTTATGTATTCGGGCATATAATAAATTCATTATTTCGAGTTCGGACGAACCGCCGAGTCAACTGACTTTTGTTGATTTGCAGGTTTGTCTGAATCTGAATGCACATGTCTACGGAGAATGTCGCCTTCCAGTTAGCATTTCAGAGCTGGCAAAGATGTTTTACTGTTCTGTAATTGTAGCCAAACTTCCCAACAGCAATCATATCCCGACCACTAGAAAGAGGAAGCGTATAAATATACCTAATCATACATTCTTCACAGGGCACGACGGGCTGCAGGAGAGCTTTGTTTTTCAGATGGAAAGTTAAGTAATGTGATCCGTCCCAAGGACAGAAAACCGCACGCGCCCCGAGGACTCTGCCTGCTCCAGCCGTGTGCCAGCTCAAGTAGGTTCTATACATCATACGGGTCACTATGCTGATCATATCTACTGCCTGATCCCGGTCATATTCATAGTCCAGTCCTGCGACTTATACACAAGGAACTTTCACGGTGCCGTACAATTGCCCATCATGTACACCAATTAGGTTCTGCACGGTGCCAGGGGAGCTCATCATAGCATTACATCCGTGTTCTAGAAACTCGGGCCACTGGATAAGCAAATGTTCCTTTCTGATGATAGAGCAGAGAAGACACGTCAGAGACAATAACTGGACAATGTGACGACTTTATATATTCTGTCTGTCCGAGAGATTTACTTTCTGCTCCTGTAAAGCAAACCTTCATCCTCTTCTATCACACTTCCTGATGAGTGGGACACTGGTGATGTAGTCCTGGCCTCACAGATGCACCTGGGGAAGGCTACAGCAATCCACATTACTCAGCCCTGATTGCAAATCAGGTTTATTGGCAAATATTACAGACTTACAGCTGCTTGCAATGAACAAATCACACAAAAGCAATCTAAAGGTGCCCATATACTGTACAATTCTCGTAGGAGAATGGCTGGAAATCCCACGATCGTACGAGAATCGTACAGTGTATGGAAGGCGTGCGACCGGTTCTACTGTACGGTCGCAAGTCTTCCATCGAACAAGCAGGCTTGAAAACCCGCCGAGAATCGTACGATTCTCGGCGGGTTAGTGGCCTGCTTGTTCGACAACTGCCGAACGGGCCGGTGTGCGCACGCGCACACTGCCCGTTTGCAGTGATCGGAAGCCCGCCCCTCAGCGGGGCGGGCTTTCGATGATCGCAAGTACGATCTGCCCGTCCAAGATGGGCAGATCGTACTTGCGATCATCGAAAGCCCGCCCCGCTGAGGGGCGGGCTTCCGATCACTGCAAACGGGCAGTGTGCGCGTGCGCACACCGGCCCGTTCGGCAGTTGTCGAACAAGCAGGCCACTAACCCGCCGAGAATCGTACGATTCTCGGCGGGTTAGTGGCCTGCTTGTTCGACAACTGCCGAACGGGCCGGTGTGCGCACGCGCACACTGCCCGTTTGCAGTGATCGGAAGCCCGCCCCTCAGCGGGGCGGGCTTTCGATGATCGCAAGTACGATCTGCCCGTCCAAGATGGGCAGATCGTACTTGCGATCATCGAAAGCCCGCCCCGCTGAGGGGCGGGCTTCCGATCACTGCAAACGGGCAGTGTGCGCGTGCGCACACCGGCCCGTTCGGCAGTTGTCGAACAAGCAGGCCACTAACCCGCCGAGAATCGTACGATTCTCGGCGGGTTAGTGGCCTGCTTGTTCGACAACTGCCGAACGGGCCGGTGTGCGCACGCGCACACTGCCCGTTTGCAGTGATCGGAAGCCCGCCCCTCAGCGGGGCGGGCTTTCGATGATCGCAAGTACGATCTGCCCGTCCAAGATGGGCAGATCGTACTTGCGATCATCGAAAGCCCGCCCCGCTGAGGGGCGGGCTTCCGATCACTGCAAACGGGCAGTGTGCGCGTGCGCACACCGGCCCGTTCGGCAGTTGTCGAACAAGCAGGCCACTAACCCGCCGAGAATCGTACGATTCTCGGCGGGTTAGT